TTGTAGCAGGTTTTCGCATGCAACGTGTCCACGTCTGAGAGATTTCCCTTTCGACAGAAATTTCGTCGGGTGGGCAGGAGAAGAGAAGGGCGAGGTCTGGCCAGGGGCTAACTCCCACTTAGAGACGAATTAAGCGATATCGACCGTAGATAGCAAAGATCAACGGCCAGAATCTCTTAATCCGTGCAAGTGGGACCTTGCCCCAGATCCTTGTTCGTTGGGGCTTCGGGTGCTTCGCCGGTGCTGCCTTCCTTCCTCGCGCTTCGCGTTGACTCTACCGGCAGCTTCCTCCCCTGCCGGGCCCTCCCGCCGGCGATCCTCACAGATGCCGCGGCTGTAGTCTGTCTCCATTCGGTCGTGTGCGGGAGAGTCCCTTACGTAATACCATTTGGAAGATTCTCTCTCTCTTAGGGCCCAGCTGGGCCAGTCGCCAGCCGCCAAAATTCTGAATGCACATGGACAACGGTATATCCAGATGCGTTGGAAGATTCTCTCTTGGAGCGCGACCTACGTAGGCCCCCGTTCATGTCCGGCAAGCTTTTTTTTTTTTTTTTTTTTTTTCCAAAAGGGCGATGGCCTTGAGGTGTTATCATCGGTAAATTCAATCTTGTGTCCAAGCTTCGAAGTATTCAATTCAATCAAAAAAACAAAAAAAGTATTCAATTCAATCCTTCCTACGATCGCACTTGTTCATGCGCACGCACTGGCGCCCTTCCTTCCTCGCTCTCCCTGCGCACTTCCTCATGCCTGTTATGTGCACATGTCGAGTCGAGAGTAGCGGACCGACGCCCACACTCGGCGTGCCTTTCTTTTTTTTTTTTTTTTTTTGGAAAGCCTTTTGGTAAGACCAGTGCCACATCCTGTCGAACGTTGTCGCTCGTCGTAGAAAACTCCGCGTTGAGTTTTCTCAACAACACAGGTGGGACCAGACCCCTGTTCTGACATTCCCCAACCCTGGGACGTGCCTTTTTTTTGTTTCCCCGCTCATTTTTGTTCGCTCTCTGGTCCCCTCGCTCATTGGCAAACAAAAATTTGCGGCACCCGACAACGGACGACAAATTTAAAACCGCAAACGGAACTATCGCCAATAGCGGAGAGTCGCGCTTTTCTTTTTGGGTTTTTTTGAAAGGTAAGCTATAGGGCCTCTGCACTACTCTCGAAGTGTGCAAAACGAGTGCAAAACGAGAGTGAATCTTCCGCTAGAGTTCGGAAAGATACACCGCCAAGATTTTTGTCTTTTGTGCATGTCCAGAGTAGTGCAGCGAGGCCCATATTCTTTTTTTTTTTTTTTTTTTTGGTATGGGGCGAGCCACGCTCTGCTGCAGTGCAATACAGAGGCAACTCAGAGGGGTCGAGTAGGCAAGCCTACCCATATGACCCCACAGTACCCCCCAAAAAATAATTTAATATCATGTGGCCGGATGGACCACGGATCAGATATTAAACTGATCAGAACAGATACTACACTTGATCTTAGCCAAAAGGCCGAGAAAGGTAGTCTCTCATCTAGTTCATCTTTCTCGGTAGTGTGTTCGCAGCCAAAAGGCTGCGTTTAGTCCGGGGAGAGGTCCCACTTGCACAAATTAGGATATTTCGGCCGTTGATCTTTGCTATCTACGGTCAGTATCTCTTAAATCGTGCAAGGGGGACCTAGCCCCCGGTTGTCTTTTGTCGTTTTGTGAACTTTTCCTTAGGGCCTCGCCACACCACTCTTGAAAACGCAAAATGTCTCAAGAGTTGTCAGATTTTCTCAAGAGTCCGTGTTTCAAGAGTTTCGGGCTCTTCGCCACACAGACCTCTTGACAAACGGACTCTTGAGAAAAGGCCCCCACCGCTGGAGGACTTTCAAGAGTTGTGTGTGGCGAGGAGGCCTACTCTTGAGAATTTGCTACCGGCGGCCTGGGACGGACCCGGTGGCCGAAATCACAAGAGTCGACTCTTGAAAGCGGAGGCCGAACTCACTGCCTGCTGTCAGAATTGAAGACCTGACAGCTCTTGAGAATCAAGCGTCCGTCACCCACCGGGCCGAGGACGCTTGACATATCGAGTGTTGCAGGCGGGGATTTCGGGTTCCTCAAGCGCGGCTCTTGAACCCGCGTTCTGACAGCGCTTGAAGTTTTTTCCCAATCCAACCTCTCAAGAGGCGGTGTGGCGGCACTGCAACTCTTGAAAACTCTTTCTCAAGAGTGGTGTGGCGAGGCCCTACAAGTTTGCCTAGCTCATAACCCGGAGACGAAGTCCTTCCCAGATCTGATGAACTCTTTATCCAAGGCAACGGCGGTGGTGACGAGACAGCTGCCGGTCAAAAGGAAGAGGAGAGAGGAGCTCCAACAAGCCATCAGAGTAGCAGAGAAAAAACACATCAGCCAGGACGTGTATGAAAGGACTTTGGAGGCGGCAAGATCATAACTACTAGGAGATTGGGAAAGATGGAGAATCCGGGGTTTGCAACTGAGGGCT